AGTTAATTTAGTAGCATAGGAAAAGTTAAATTAACACACTGAAATGAAAATTAAGTTGGATTCTATTCTTTTGTGTTGCCTGATTGGTGAGTAATTTAATTGTAATTAGTTAATAACAATAAAATTCTACAATATGAAAAATAACTTTTATATGGAAAAGTTGTGCATTAATGAAAGTAAATACTATTGAACATTCGAGTAAATGAAACAAATGAACAAATTGTATAAACCAATAAAAGGTTTATTCAATTGAATAAAAATCGAAGCATTCTCCGGACACTACGTTAGCAGATTGGATCACAATTCAGCAAATTGAGTTTGTCGCAAACATTTAAAAGATTTGCAATTCAATTTCCAATTATGAGTGGACAGAGCCTTGTATTGTTTCGGCCTCGGCTTTTCATAAGGCTGATTGTTTTTGCGCATTTGTTTCTGATCGGCTTTTAGGTATCAAAGTAAAGTGGCTTTAACTTTTACACTTTTTTGTTGGTTTCCATTACCTTTCTTAAAAAAGTTGGATTAGGTTAGGGTTAATAGTTGTTTGTTCTAACAAAATACTGATGTTGGTACATTTTATTAAAATAGTTACACGAACTAACTGAAAAATGATAGTTATCTAGAACAAACGGATACAATGATAAAAAATTTTTTTGAAGGTTTTTTTGTTAAATATTTGATTAATAAATCATCAATGTTGTATCCTCAATGTATGAATCTTGCAATCCTTATGTGCTCAGAGGACTGAATTCACGACCCCACATTATAGAGTGAACCTGCTGTTTCTGTTTTCCCTGGAGGAGTATTAATATTTCACCCAATATCACGGCGAGCGACAAACGGACGTAATTAATGACGGGGTCCGGGCTTTTATAGTTATTAACCGCACAATCTGCCTGATGAATTGCGTTCACGTTTCAAATATGCTTAGTTACTCTGGTTTTTAATATTATAATGTTTGTGATTTGGTGTTTACAGTTTACCCCGGGCGTAACTCGTTTACCTCGTACTCGTATGAGTTAGTTTTTTTTTGTATAGAAAACATACTTGAACTCTTGAACTTAATCAGGAGAAACAGGAGAAGTTCGGGGTAGGTTATTTTGTGTAATGGAAAACTGGAGATACTCGTAGTTGGAGATGGGAAGTTAATTTAATACCTTTCTAATAGTGATATTACATCGCGTAAAATGTGTTATAAATTATAGAGATCAATTTATTGAAATTGAAAAAAAAAATTATTAATTATTGTCAGACGGGTGTCCTTAATCGTGTTAGTATAGTAACAATAAATATATAACTTATATTTCATACCTCTAATTATTTATTCTTTATTTAACACGTGAGATAATATAGTAACTGCCAGAACGAGTACCTATAGGCGTTTGACAACATAAGCTTTAATGCGATGCATATGTGTACATCCATACATAATAATAGAGGAAAAATTTCGCCCTGCTTACGAAGTAACTGAACTGTGAACAATATTCTCACAGCTCTCCTGCCAATCCCGGTTAAGCGCCGAGTAAACTTTGTGGCCTCCCTTCCTGTTACACGTAATACAGTATGAAGCTCGACATTTTAGTTCGTATAACGTTGGTAGCTCGTAGCTCGTCCCTAAACTGAGCTTAGTTAACTTGCATAGCTTTTAGCAAATAGACTGACTTTAACTTTATCATGCCATGTAGAAAAGCAGTTCTGCCTATCCTATTAAGGGTGGATTCGACCAAACAAGAGTAAAAATTAATCTCAGAATAAATCGTCAGTTTTACCATGTACTGAAACTGTCAATGTGCCAGTTATACCAGGAGTTATTCTCGGATAGAAGTTTGATGGAATCGGATCGAAGTGACCTACGTGGTATAATATGGTAGTGAGAATATACTTATTTGTTATTGTCATATGTACAGTCACGGAATGAAAAGGTTCGTCAGTTTTCAAATTGATTCCTTCAACGAATCGCGAGCACATATTATTATTACCTTTTGAAACTATGTTACAGAATAATCTCGAGTTAGAGAAAATAATCTTTAACTGTTCGTCAGTAAAGTTCAAAAGTATTCAGATCAAAGTTGTTTGACGATTTATCTTGTCAAGAAGATTATTATGATTGATAAACTAAAACCTTCTTGTTGGTTCAACCTGCCATTATTATTTCTATTTAATAAAAAAATCTATTGTCAATTGGTCAATGTCATCATTGCATTGCACTGATGGGATAGAAAAATAAACAAGCAAAACTTTATTCGTTAGCAAACGTCATGAATATTTATTTAAATGTTAGCAGCACTGTTTCTTGCACTGTTATGTTGGCAGGTTTGACTCTTACAGTACCTAGTGCAAGCGAAAACCGACACTAAGGTGACGAACCTTTTCATTCCGCGACTGTACCTACTTTCTACCAAAATATGTACATGATATGCTACCATTCAATACTGTGCCGATAATAATAATAATAATAATATAAATAAAAATGGAATTTATTTCTCACCACAAACAAGATACAATGTAACATGCTTACGATTAGGTATAACCAAATATGTATATGTAACNTTTTTCGCCTTTAAATAGGCAACATCTTTATCTCATATAGAAATGTGTCTCAGGGGGAAATTATTATCAATTTTCAATCGAGAAAATAAATTTATACTCTTGACAGACACAAAACCACTCAATGGTTTTCCAGCAACAATAAATAAGGCAGTATTATTCAGGGTTCGAGGATATATATCAAGGGATATACAGGGTGTTTCTTGTAAGGTGTCAAGCCGAAGGCAGGTGATAGGTAAGGATTAGACCTATCGATTTCACCCCCATGTATGTTCTAAGATTTTTCATAGTTTAGAAGTTATCGTTAATTTCGTGATTTTTTCAAATTTCATGACCTAGCAGGCTTTAAATTTTTTTATCTTTTTTTTGGGTTGACTTTTTCAGATTTCTTTTTTTTTGACAGATTCCCTATTAATTGCAGTTGTTTGAAAAAAATAATCACCTTTCTACCTTTGATGCAAGATACAAAATTTTTGCTAGAAACATAAAAAATATGCTTTTAGCGGAACATTCTAAAATTTTCAACATAAAAGTTTAAAAAAAAAAAGAACTTCTATAGGTCCAAAATAATTTTAAAAACTGCACAGTTTTCTGAACTTTCATAATAACACAAAAAAACATGTACTTAATAGGCCATTATTTTCTGTAATCGCTCCACTAAAGTGGTAAGTCGGAGATTCCGTTACAAGTTTTTGACTTTCTTAGGACTAACTAATGTTTGCAATCCCCTAAGTTTACGTTATGTAGAACACATTTAGAGACAATAGCTGAAAATATTTTTTTTTATCCACAACGTGGAAGCTCTTGCTCTTCATCTGGTATACAAAAGGGAATATGAAAATATTGATGAACTGCGGACAAAGCTGACTGAAGCNTTCTCCGACGGCCAGTTGTATGTGGAATACTCCAGAGTATACGCACACAATAGCCTGGTGATTTAAGCACCTGAAGGAAAAACAAAAAAACATTTGACAACAGTGCTACTGACAACGCCACTCTTGTGGCGGAGTTTTGGGCTGACACTGTGTAGGTTTGTTGTCGACACGAAAAGAAGAAGAAAAACACATTGTTTACAAAGAAATCTGTGGCAGGTGTAGTGTTTTAATTTTGTTTTAGAAAGATCTCATAATTTTGTAAGTATTCAAATATTTAAACATAATGATGTGCAGATTTTATATCAAAAAATATAATCATTTAACAAAATTAATTTTATTTATTTGTTTATTTATTTTTGGGAAACATACATGTACGAGCTGCTTACTGCACATCTTTAGAATTGATAGAAATGATACGATTTTAGACTTGATGATTTGCTTTGATTTATTGATATTGATAGTATACGAGTACACGCCGTAGCGGTTGATTGTGCACTGATTTGATGGATGAAAAGTGATACAATTAGGGTGAAAATGCTGATGGCGCGGAATGTGCGGTCAAGACCGTACAATACAGTTACAATATAATTTAACTTAGGTGCAGTGAGAAAACACATAAACCAATTAAGTTTCCACAGTTAAATATACACATAAAGTTGGGCAAACCATTATGACTAATTTTTTGTGGTGAAAAATATAAACTTANTCATCCGAAATCTTAAAGCCTGTTCCTCTTAGCCGTTGCCCGTTTTCTATTATTTGGGTGACATAATTAGTCATAGATTCGCAGTTTTCGAGGCGTATGTTGATGAGATTTTTCAATAGACTTATCTTTCTTGTGAAGCCTGAATCATCAAACATATTCTTCAATGTAGTCCAAAGATCATATGTGGTAGCTGCCTGCTTTATGTGAACATAAAGCGCCGGATCGATAGTGAGGATTAACTTTGCTTTCGCCTTCGAATCTTCAATTTTCTGGGCTGTAGTCGCCGTTGCCGCTAACTGTGTTGCAATGGCGNCCGGGCTTTATTGTCGACTATAAAGGGCGGCGAGTGTGGTCGGGTTGACCTGTACCTTTGTTTGTGTGTTTACCCCTTTTTGGACAGCTTTTTTCATCATGACTCTACCGTTAAAATTTCACTTTGCTCGTCATTTTTAGTTACTCATCTATCGTGTCAAGCGTTACGAGTTGCTATCCATAAACCATCAAATCAAATAGATTATTCAGTACAGGCCCTTTCCATGGCACTTATACACGTCCTAAAGCTTGCCCTACCTACCACTTCGGGACAACATATGAGCTGGTGTTGAGAAGAAGTCATCTTCAATAGAAGCCGCACGCCCTGGCATGGTGACACGTTCTGTCGTAGTTCACAGCGTGGTCTAGAGTTTAAATCTTGGTCACGTCACCATCACCATTTCGACAATTGAATTTTGTCTGAATCAGCTAATGTCAGATTGAGTCATGGGACTAAGGGGGCGTTTAACAAGTACATTTATTTATCTGTATTTACTCAAAGAGCAGTACAAAATATATCATCGTAATTCAATTAAACTCCCTATCGTTGAGATTATCCGCAGTTCCTGCCAGATGTCGCTGCGCGTGATCTTTATTAACCTCACCGGCGCACGCGCATGTGGCACTGTTTTCGTTCCATTTCAGCCCGGGGGGAAGTGTGCGTAGGGTTGGTGGATGAGAAAATAATATTTTCTTTGAAAAAAAAAAATTTTTTTTGCTAAATTAAAATTATTTACTTAAAGGGTTTTGGAATTACAAGTTGAGTAGAATAATAAGTTCTTCTCTTTAGATTATCTTTGCAGTTTTGCCAAGCTTTGCTTTTGTGTAACTCGATAGAGCAGTATAAGTTCCAAGGACTTTTTACACACCAAAAAAATGATTTATTTCAATAGTGTTTTAAATTAATTATTGTAACACATAAAAATAATAATTAAAAACGGAAAAACTTGACAGAGTAGGTTTTACTTCACTACAAAGCTAGCTACCGAAGTAAAAAATTCTTACTACTTTTTTCGTCCACCAAGTCATGTTGTTTCGTGCAAACGTTTTGTAAAAAAGAAGGCAAAATAAGTATAAGTTGAGTTATTAACTTTACTTGAGAACCCTAGTTAAGCTACACCGCGTTACAGCGCTAGTGGAGATTAACTACGGAACAGTTTTCAAGTTCATACCCCGGGATTATTTTAGAACTCTATTTCTGACAGGACTTAACGCCCTGACCGTTTCTCGGAAGTAAACATGTTATTACACTGTATGTTTGAGACAAAGATGAAAGAAATTATAATTAAATAACAAGGTTTTGACTGGCCCTGTTGTTTAATTTAACTTTCAATTTAGTCGGAGTTGTGTTGTGTTAAATTGAGTTTATCGTTTTGTTATAACGGAGTCCAAAGATGCTTTATTTACATTTAGCCAATACTTGGATGCTATTAAGATATTTCATAATTTTCATACTTAAATTCATCGTTGACCTTTTTTTTTGTTTTGTAAGTATTCATAGACAATTTACAGTGACAAAAAATAGGAAGCTTAAAAAATATATTAAGTTTCCTTGTTGGACTTTTCAATTTATAAGTGACGAAAATGTCTCAATAGTTTCAGTGCCTGACTGCCCATTCAAATGGTTCGTAACTTTCGACAAGTAACAAAAAAGAATAAGTATTATTATGGATTTAGTTTTGATTAGGATTGATTTTTATGTCACAAATTATCCTCTCTACTAAACAAGAAATACCACGATTGTAATGATCCAGCAATTGTTATTTTTTTCTGCTACAGCAGCCATCAGCTCTGTGCCCACTGCCACATGATTTTAGCGATTCTGCGGGCTATGTCAGTCACTCTGGTTCTCCTGCGAATCTCTTCATTTTTTATTCAATCACGCAGGGAAACTCCGAGCATAACACGCTCCATCGCCCTTTGGGTGACCTTGTGCCTTGTTGTTATAATAACTAATTATTATTTTACTTTTATATTTATTTGACGTTCATAAGTGCCACTTGTGGTCTAAACTGAATAAATATTTTTGATTTTGATTTTTTGACTTTGTTCCAGGCATGTGCCCCCCGCTACGTGTCGTTCGTGTCCCACAAGCTGAACCAGCGGGACCCGGTGGGCACCTGCTACGTGGCCAAGACCTCGGACGCCATCAAGGTCGAGGAGATCTCGCCGTGCAGGACCAGTAAGTTGACGTTTTGATAATCTGATGTTGAAGTTGAGTTTCAAGTGAAGCAAAAAAATTCATACATGTAAAATTAACGTAGTCTAGACGATACACTTTGTTATCAAGTCTGATACATAATTTGTATAATGAGTTTAGGATCTCTTTCGTTGGATAAAAATGTAGGTAGAGCCCTGAGGACGACTTAGAGAAAAAAATAACGTAAAAATAAAGTTTACAGTACATACATCTTCAGTACTTAATTATTTTGGACGTAAAGCTTGTTGTTCTAGCCAAACAATACGATGCGAATCACAATATATGTCGACATATATTGTGATTCGCATCGTATTGTTTGGCTAGAACGTAGAATAGCAATTTACATCATTATTAAATTCTTGATTAAGCCCTCATTTGCTTTAAGTATTTTGATACCCACCGTATCTTAAATAGCAACTTAAAACAATCGCCTCATTAATATTCGCAAGCATTTAGAAAATGTGGCGATACTTTGTTTCCACGTCGCATAATGGCGGAGGGCGCGAAAGCTTACGAAAGCTCGCGAAGCGCGAATTCCCCGGCACTTCCGCCGGTAATGGCTTGCCAGGGTGACGGCTCAAGGCGATAAGGGTCTACTTTGTGGAATATTTCTATAAAACTCTTTAGTAATTTGCAATTTTATTACTTTTAGCACTTATTCAGTAAAAGGAACCAACATAAAAGCTTATTACAGACAGGAACATCAGTAACTCTAGATTTGCTTTCTATTTCTGGCCATCAAAAGAGTTATTACTTTAATTACTCTTTTAATGAGATTTAGATGAGAGTATCCAGGAGAAGTGATAGAGACGTTCAGAGAAGAAAATTACGAAGAAAATTTTGTGTAGTAATAACTTACAGCTTCAGCATTTTAGCTTGAAATTATGGAGTTCCAAAGAGTTACTTGTTTCGTAAATGCGGTGTAAACTTAGTACGTACTTATCTGCTGACAACATCTTTAACGGGCTCTTGGTGTTCGCATACGAGACTTTGCTATTTGCGGGTTCGAGTCCCGTAGAAGACAAGTGTTGGGTTTATGAGAAAAAGAGAAAATCACAGTTTAAAGCAGATTAACTTTTATAAAAGCTCAATAATTTTACTTTGTTTTATGTGAACTATTCGTAATTACAATTGATATTTTTATATTTGTATGTAATCTCTATTGTTATGTATTGTATGCCATTATTTTACATAATGTACTTTGTTTAGGATATCGCCATGTGGACGAGGGTGAGTGGTAGCTCGGTGTTAGAACTGCACTGTGTATACTGTACTGCAATTTAGATGTTAATTTAATCATCTTAACTTTTAATGTAATCCCACCACTATCGATGTTTTGTGTAAGCTTTTTTTTTTACTATCGTCTCTCACACAAACATAAATGATAATTTAATTCAAGTGAACATCAAAGAACGATGTAGGATTTATGGAAATAGTTCTGATATTTATTTTTTCTTAGCCTAGGCGCAGACCACTGAATTTTAGTCGGCCGATAGTTGGACCCAATTCTAATTTTTGTATGAAAAATCAATCGATGTAATGTGCGCACTTCCATACATGCCCATTCTGATTAACTGCCCGACTAAACTATCGGCCGACAAAAAGTCGTTACAGTCTGCACCTAGGCTTACAAGAATATAGGACATTGTTTAATAATAATTAATGTATCTTACATATCTATACAAAACCTCTTGAATGTTGTTGTAGATAGAATACATTTAACTCAAAAACTTAAAACTTTTCTAAATACCATTAACCTTTCAAAACCATAAACAAAATAATTTCAAGTTTTGGCATTAATGTTACAGTCGTTAAACATTTGACATTCGCAAAACTTTCAGCATAATAACAGTAATTTCTTATAATCTCTGTGTACAGGTGGCATCGATGTAATTAGCTAATTAATATGTTAAAATAATTGTTTAATTCGCAGCGAGCCACGGGCAGCGCAAGACGGGCGTGTGCCAGGCTGGTTTCTCGGCGGCCGTGTCAAAGGTAAACAACTTTATTTCATAATCCCAACTAATATTATAAATGCGAAAGTAACTCTGTCTGTCTGTCTGTCTGTTACGCTTTCCCGCTTAAACCTCGCAACCGATTTTGATGAAATTTGGCATAGAGATAGTTTGAGTCCCGGGAAAGAACATAGGATAGTTTTTATCCCGGTTTTTGAAACAGGGACGCGCGCGATAAAGTTTTTCTGTGACAGACAAAATTTCACGCGGGCGAAGCCGCGGGCGGAAAGCTAGTAATATTATAAGTTGACGACTTATTTCACACTCGAGATTTACAAGATTTTAATAATTTATTAATTTTAATGGAGAAACTGGTAAACAGGATTCAGCGTCGACTGATTTGGCGTTCCTAATCCCTACGTTATTGTATTTAGTAAGCGCGATAGAGATTAGGGATTAAGGTAATTTATGTAGGTCTTAAATTACTATCAATATCCAAGACCGGGTGATTGAGTAAAGGAACAGCCGCATATTCTAAAATGGCATGAAATATAAGAATATTTTTTAAAGTTCATTCTCAACTTCATTTGCTAACAGAGATACCAGCCCTTATGTGAAATTATGATGATCATCTTATGATTATCAAATAAACTCCACCCCGACACTCTTTCATTACCGATTTATCCCGCTCATTACGAATTAACCCCAAGCCGTGCCTAATGCCCACATTCGGGGACATTCGTGAGAAACCTGCGCGTGCGGTTGTATTAAATTGTACGCGAATTATATTCGAATTCTCCGCGAAATTACAACTTTAATTTTCGATGTGTAAGCGCACGCTTATTAGGGCTGCTACACACATAAGCGGGCTGGCATCGACGAGATTGTTGAATCCCAAAACTGACCCTAAAAATTACTGCATTTGTTCGGATATTATTGACTAGTTTATATGGGCGGAAAAGCTGAGAGACATATTTACCGAACTAAATGTCCGGACATCTCATATTCATACGTTTCAAACTAATGTCGTCCACTGCTAGACATTGACAAGACTTTAAGGTTTTCCACAACAACCATTCCTGCGCTATCCGCATCCAAATGCTTTCTGCGACCTTCACCAGATTACCGATTAATGCCGGCCCATTTAAATAATAAATAATAATAAATAAAAATGGAATTTATTTCTCACCACAAACAAGATACGATTANTAATATAATAATAATAAATGGAATTTATTTCTCACCACAAACAAGTAGATACAATGTAACATGCTTACGATTAGGTATAACCAAATATATGTAACTTGTTTGTGGAGACTGGTGATCTATGGTAAGTAAAAAATACTTGTGTTACAGACCACCAGGTCTCCACCCCCAGACATGTCTTTAGGTATAGTAATACCCGTGGCTTACTTAAAAATACTTAGTATAAGTAGGACATTAATGTACATATTTTAATGTTACAGTTTCTTTATAAATATATCCTCTGTCTCTTGGTAAGATAACTTACTTAACCATCTAAATAAGATTTCTTTACATCCGTGCTTGTTTTTAGGGTAAATGTTCAACGAAGCATTAATTTTATCGTACAGTTTTGGTCCTTGCGTACAAAAGAATCTATCAGCAAAAGAAGAGTAAAAAGTTTCTGTATGGCATACTTTTCTATATCTTCGTCTGACAGCAGCTTCTTGGTCCTATATATATTTAGTATCTCTATGTTGCATAAGTATAGTATTTAATATATATAATTGACGGATAGTAAGAACTTAACTATCGGCATACAATGTTGAAGTTGGGTATAGGATTGGGTTAAAAATACATAATAATATTTTTANTGGGTTTAAAAAGACATATTTTTAGAATTAACCGCTGCGCCCTTTCAATTTTTAAAAGGTGACTTTTTGCCGCTCCCCCCCAGATTGCAACACAGTATGACATAATTGATTGACATAGAGATAAATAGACCTGTGGGTCTAGACAAAGTGCAAATTATAATCGCAAACCAGTCGAAAAGTGGTCGAAAAGCCCGTTTTTTGTATGGAGTTTTGACGGATTCGATTTTCGATTCGATCAAAAAGTGCGTTTTGTCTAGGGGGGCTGCTTTAAGGTTTTGCCATAAGTGACATGTCTAAGTTGTTTAAAAATATAAATTAATTTTCTAACTTTTTGTGTCAAACCCATTATGTGCTCTTGGAAAGTAAGAGTCTTATCCAGTACAATACCAAGATACGTTATAGATTGAACCCGTTGTAGGTCTTCACAAGAACAGTTTTCTGGTAGAGGATACATACAGGTATGTGCAGTTATTTTAAGGTTTGTAGAAATATCTTGAGAGTGTCGCATCGAAAAAGGTATGTATTTCGTTTTACTAGCATTTAGTGTTAGAGAGTTAGAAGCTAGCCAGTGACATACCCTATTAAACCCTTCCTGAGCCTTGTGGTAAACATCTTCCCAAGTATCGCCATAGAAAGTGAGAGATGTGTCATCAGCATACGCTATAATCTTACAGTTATCAAGTTTTAAATTGCATAATTCATTTATATAGCAGAGAAACAACGTAGGCCCCAACACACTTCCCTGCGGCACACCAAATGCTATGGGAATTTCCTCACTCAATAATGTACCGACCTTTACTCTTTGCGTTCTATTTTTTAGGTAATCACTTAGTAATAGAAGTGGCAGACCACGGATTCCTAATGATTCAAGCTTCTTTACAAGGATTGGTATAGAAACCGTATCAAACGCCTTTCTCAGGTCCAAAAATATAGATAGACACCGCTTCCCTTTGTCCAGTTTACGGACAACAAAATCTGTTATCTCATGTACTGCATCGCTAGTTGATTTGCCTCTTCTAAAACCGTATTGAGAATTTGCTAGTAAATTATTAGTTTCTAAATAAGAACAAAGTAAAATATGAAGTTACAAAGTTAAAAATCGGAACGATTACATTAAAAAGTTACCAATTCCCACAATTCCCAAAAGCTTTTTAGGTAAAGCCATCAAATGATTACATACTATAGTAGGTATAATAATAATAATAAACGTATTAGTTTAACCGACAAAACTAAGGCCCAAGTAGGTATATAAAGTTCTCAATTAATCACGGCAACCACTTAAAGTGTAATGAATAGTAAACACCCGGAAACTGTACGAATAGTTAATTCGGAACGCAATCAAACATGTTTGAACATGGGTCCGATTGCCGATTGGCAGTTTGTGGGATTACTGAACAGTTTAAAATGGAAACGGTAGGACCACTTTAAAGTAAAGTAAGGAACCACATGAATTATTCTTCCCACAGTCGTCGATTCAGCCGTTTTTTTCGACTGGAAAATGCATGAAACTCCATACTCACTAGCCCGGGGGAGCCGATGATCGAGTTACCTTTGTGGGGTTCTCCTCGCCTGAAGGGCAAGGCCTACCCACTAAAAATCAGTCGGGTCCCACTATGGTTACGTTTTGTGAGACAGCATACGAGTCGGAGAATCGTTCACATGCTTGCCTTCACGCAGCGTCCTCAGCCTCGCTCTAAAGACGTTCACTGCCGTACAAAAGCCTCCACCATAGATTTCCACAACGACCGGTACTGTGCTGCCCACATAATTATCCTGTCTGCAGTGCACTCATTTAAGTATCTTGTTTCGATTCCCCACAGAAATATTTTACGGTACGGAAGCCTCTCATTTTCTAGTGAGCTTGGTGCTTGGTACCTACTTACTCTGCGGTATTTCGGACATGAGTATATGGCGAAGCTTCCCGAACGCTGCCCATCCGAGTTGGATTCGACGATTGACCTCTTTCTCGAAGTTGGACCTACCTAACTGGACTGTTTGTCCCAGGTATACATAATTGTCGACAACTTCGAGTGTAGAGTCTCCAACCTTCAGAGGAGTGGGTGCAACACGGACATTAGACATGATNAAAGTACCGACCTTTACTCTTTGCGTCCTATTTTTTAGGTAATCACTTAGTAATAGAAGTGGCAGACCACGGATTCCTAATGATTCAAGCTTCTTTACAAGGATTGGTATAGAAACCGTATCAAACGCCTTTCTCAGGTCCAAAAATATAGATAGACAACGCTTCCCCTCGTCCAGTTTACGGACAACAAAATCTGTTATCTCATGTACTGCATCGCTAGTTGATTTGCCTCTTCTAAAACCGTATTGAGAATTTGCTAGTAAATTATTAGTTTCTAAATAAGAACATAGTCTAGAATTAACAATCCTTTCAAAGATCTTAGAAAACGTTGTTAATATTGCTATTGGACGATAATTATCTATGCTATCTCTGTTTCCCGTTTTATAAATAGGAACAATAATTGCCTTCTTAAAAGCATCCGGAAAAACTCCCCCCTCAATGCAGACATTAACAATATGTGTAAAGTGAGCTGCTATCACATTCTGAATGCTCTTCAGTATTTCTGTTGTAATGCCATCATAGCCTGCCGAACACCCGCCCTTTAGTGTTTTAATAATACTAATTACCTCTTCGCAATTTGTGGGATTAAGGACAAAAGAGTAACTTGGTGAATCGCTATTTTCCAAAAAAGGCGACGTAGGTATATTAATTTTGGCAGCTAGCTCCTTCCCGATATTGGCGAAGAAGAAATTAATAGCATACATAGAGTCCGATCTGTCCTCACATATCTTTAGCAGTTCATCTGATGGTACTTTACACTTTAGACGATTTGTGATTGCATTAATCGATTTCCATAGTTGTTTACTATTTTTACCTGCAGAGTTTAAAAGTTGAGTTTCGTGTTGTCTTTTTAATTTTCTTATGAGATTACAACAGTAATTTCTATAACGTTTATAAGTGATCCTTAAAGTTTCATTATTTTTATGCTGTTTTAACTTCTTGTATATTTGATCTCTGTTTCGTAGGCACCTTAAAAGGCCAGTAGTCATCCATGGCTTAAGAGTAGTTTTTCTGCAGGGAGGACAATATGTTGAAGTATTTCTTGAAATTACGTTTGATAGGTTTTCAATAAATAAAGTGACTTTATAGTTTATGTCATTATTTTCGTATATATATTGTAAGTTTTCATTTTTACAGTCTGTTAATATTCCTTCTAAATTTATCCTCCGGACTGGTTTTTTATTTATAATATTAGCAACTTTAGTTTTTAAGCAAAACAAGACTGCTTCATGATCTGTTACTGATGTTTCCAAAACGAGTGTATAAGTAGTGAATCTTGTCTGTATTGCAACATGATCAAGACAGCTATCCTTCCGAGTTGGAAGACTGTGCGCCATAGCAAGTCCATAAAAAGCAATTATATCAAGATATTCCAAGGTATTTTCATCATAGTTAATTATATTTATATTTATGTCTCCTACCATAATAATGTTTTCATACGATCTCAATTTTTCGAATAAATTCCTTAAGGATTTCAGAAATGGCCCTAAGTTTTTAAACTCACAGGGCCGGTAAATAGCTATTATTACTGTTTTATGGTCCAATTTTACAAGTAAACAATTACATTCATTTAGATTCGGTTCTTCAATAACAAAAGTCATGTCTTTCTTTATAAATACTACTACTCCATCATTTTGGTTGTAGTTATTTGTAGTGCTAAAACCTTCATAACCGCCAAGTGTAGGTAAAGATCCCACACAAGAGAGCCAGCACTCTGAGAGAACTACAACATCGCATTCAAAGTTCAAACGTTTTAGTAGAATACTAATTTCATTAAAATTTTTGTTTATACTACGTATGTTTTGTTGCACAATCTTTAGATAAGAAGCAGGCTCTTTTAAAATGTCCGAGCAGTTCTCAGGTTGGCATTTCACAGTCTCAGATACGCAGAATGTGTCTATATTATTTAATAAATGGTTAGTGTCCGCGAATTTTGTATGTTAATGTTTCCCCAGAGATATTGCAAGGTACCGGTGCATAAATAGTTCTAAGTTCATTATACATTATGAAATAATAAATGTACAGTGTGTTTGTAGAGGGGCAGAATAACATTCTTTTAGATATTGGAAATTTCCAAGAAGGATTCCTTACACAATTTTGATGGAACAAAATATAGTTGTTGTTTTGTACCACAATTAACTCTGTTTTTTGACGCAATGAACAATACATAATTAAAACATAGCAATTTGTTAAGATACATGCAAAATATATCAAACAGTTCAGAAAATAAAAATATTTTAGGCTTAGTGGCTTTCCATTACATGTCACCTTTTTTACATTATGAATAAAGACGAAACCACAGCAAATACACCGATTAGATGATTTTTGTAATGTAATAATACACCACCATTGTGCTTTACGACCATAAACCATAGACAAATAGAGCATTGACAGTCATTGTTGTGATTCAAATGTTTTAAAGCATTTTTCGGATTTAATTGTAATAATTTTAGCACTATCCTTAGTTTTACGAAGTAAAATTTTGCCATTTGAATACCAACAAAATTCAAAATTATTTGTTTTAGCATACTGTCTAACTTCATACATAAGCTTCTTCATGGAGAGGGGAATGTGTTCATCTACATAAATTGGTTCATTCTCATTTGTCAACCCTGTATTCAATGTATTCAGTTTATCCGCCACATTTCGTTTCTTGTTAAAGCTGCGTGTCAACGATAAAAACTCGTGCTTCATGCCGACGGCATTAAATTCAGTGACAATCGATCTTATATTTCCAGGTTTAGCCGGTAATCTGTACATATCTCGCACGTCGGCAGGCATAATTTTCATTCCTATAGTGTTTGCGATTTTATTCACAGTCGAAAACAGGTCTTCGGTAGTTTCCTGCTGCTTCATTGGAACGTTTTTTATTTCTATTGATGATGATCTTCTGCCTAACTGCGTCTCTTCAAGTTGTTTTTCCAGTGTTTGAATTCGTTCACGATCTTCTTTTTTTTTCCGTCTCCAGATTCTCAATTTTATTTTTCAAAATTTCATTTTCCTTGTGGATAAAGTCCATAGATTTTTCTATTTCAATATTCGACTGTTTTATTTCATTGCATTTTTCTTTTAAATCTCTCATATCCGCCATTATTTTTGATAAAATTTTATCTTGTTCCGTCTTCCAGGAGCTAAGCATTTGCGTGAGTTCCTGTTGAGACGCGAAAAAGGTGTCTGTAGTTAGTGTGGTATCGACTTCAGTTTCGTACTGAGGTGATCCATCCATACGGAGCCGCTTAGAGGCGTGCATTTCTTTTGTCGTAGCATCCTTATTCTTCGCCGAAGAAATATCCGGGTCTGGCATCGTTGGTTTCTGTTTCGACGATGATTTACCTTGTGTTGTGGTCGATAGTTTAGGCATTATGTAGTGTCAAAACAGGACAGTATGTAAATTCTCCAAACGACTCACACTGGTAGGGTTCGTAGCAATGCGATTTATCAGTCCGTAGCAATTTCGTAGCTCGCACACTACTCTCGTCGTAGCACTCACGTAGCGTAGAACCGGCTCACAGAGGCAGTGACCAATGTTAATTTCGCCGCCGTGAGTTGCTGTCTCGGTAGCCGAACTATACCACGCGCGGACCGAACACCGAAGTCGCGGGTTCAAATCCACTCGCACTCAAAATTTTTCACTTTTAATTTTAATTATTATTTAAGTATCTCAGTCACTAACACACGTCCATCTCGTACGGTGTCCGCGGGGGAAGAGGAACATGGAAAACANGGAATGTAACGACATACAGACAGACAGACAGACAGACAAAAATTTTACTGATTGCATTTTTGGCATCAGTATCGATCACTAATCACCCCCTGATAGTTATTTTGAAAATATATTTCATGTACAGAATTGACCTCTCTACAGATTTATTATAAGTATAGATAAGCAAAATAACTGTAACAATAATCTCTACAAATAGAGCTTTCCTGTTAAAACGGCTTTATTGACGTTTTCGTTAGTTAATGCTGTACCTACACAATACACATGTTAGGCCCACGGTTGACCTGCCACAGTTTTCCATTCAGGTCGGTAACCGGTCGCGTAGCTATTCAGAGGTACAAATTAGAACAAAAACCCATTCATTGAAGGGTTAGATGTAGGTAATATTTTATGCGATTTCACAGAAGTTTCCTACTGAGCTTTTGCACTTCCTACATATTAGAATCCTGTAAAAAACAGTAACTCTGATCGTTGTTAAATAGCTAATTGTGACTGAAGATTATTATTCAGTAAACTGAAGACTTACCCACTTATGCAGTAAAATCCCTACATAATCTATAACCTTTTCCACTTCTAACGACACTTCCTGAAACTTCATGATGTTAACTTGCAATAACTCTTTACACATATAAAGTACCTAAAACTCATTTTACGATAAATTGGTTCCCGAATATTGAAATGTAAAATCAATCGTCTTTAAAGTCACCAAAAAGTATCCTTGATCATTTGACACATGATATTTCATGAATTAAACATTAATACAACTGGGTAAAGCATCAAAAACCCGCGATCCGACGCCTAATTTGTTATGGAAATGTACCCGCATTATAGCTCATCCGTCAGAGTGCCGGCTTCCAACCAATTTATCAAGTCAGTGAGAAATATGAGTTACATATGACCTAACTAGACATCATAAGGTTGCTAGGGACTGAATACATTTTCTTATCGGCAATATCAAATGATAGCGGACGCTTTTTGCGACGTATCTTCGTAGCAATTGCTAAATGAGATTAAACGAAAGGCGATAAACGTTTATTTAATTAAGTTTTACCGGTTGCTAAGTTTCATTATAGAGTTTTTCAGCAAGTGGTAGTTTTTCTTTCTTTCAATAGTGACGATTAATTTGATTGAATTGATAAGTCTAAATAAACCGATGAAGACATTTTTGATTAGATTTTTACTGTAAACATCTATAGTGCAAACTTTTTTTAGTTTCCAGATTAGTATGTTTTTGTGGCAGTACATACCTGCGTGTACGTCACAAGGTTTAAAAAAAAACAAAAGAATGCGATAAAAAACTTGGTCTTTACTAATAAATACATAACACAAGCATATTAATTGCTTACTTTGGGGCTAGATGGCGCTGTGTGAGATTGTCCAAACATATTTATTATTATTATTATTAAAGGTTTTTTTTGGCAATGAAGCTGTAGATAGAGCGACCATTAGATCGTTCTGACAAAATATTATGTTCGTATAGTGATCTTAGATACCCTTTGAATTTCAGGTTAACTTAATTCCTCAATAAGTTCAGATTCAGTAAAGCAAAGTTAACCTGAAAAAATCAAGTTACCCAAGACGACCGTATTAATATAGTAGGTTACGTTAACGCACAGCCCTGGAACTATAAACCACCTCCTCAATTTCCAGCGGCATGAGAAATTGTTCTCAAGTCACTGGAAGGCAAGGCACGCGACCTATATAGAGCAAACAGTGTGCCTACCATGAGTTTACGTTAGGTGAGCTCGCTAGCGAATACGTCAAAAAATTCTATGAAGATCTTATTTCTTGAAAGTAGCCACTAGGGGCGCTGCACAATATGTCATACATTTAAATGTCATTTTTTTACGCAGTCGCTAGCGAGCACACCTAACGTAAACTCATGGTAGGCACACAGGTCAACTGGCTAACTTAGGGCGTTAAGTGTTTTATATTGTAGTAAGATACTCGAATAACTTGTAACTTAGACGCTGTAGTAACGCACTGGGTGTAACAAATGAAGATAGCAAAAACAAGTGACTTTTAAAGTTAGCAGGCTTTCGCACGGATGCCTAAAAGTTTTTAAGAGAAAGTGAAATTTTTGTCATTCAGCATTTCAAAGGTACTGGACCAAAAGTGTTATGTTACTGAGTTAATAATTAAACGTGGGTGAAACCAGGGCGGACTGCTATTTATAAATAAAAACAATAAAGTTATTATAACTGTAAAACCAGATGGCTTGATTTATGCAAAAAGGTATGAATTGTGTATTTATTTACGATTTCCCACAAGCGCAGCGTTGTACGTCCACCCACAAGGTGGACCGACGACCTCATAATGATAGCGGGAAGGCGCTGGATGCAGGCCGCCATAAACCAGCCATTGTGGAAATCATTGGGGGAGGCCTATTTTCAGCAGTGGACGTCCTAATGGCTGAAATGATGATGATGATGATTACACGCTATTATACAACGCCAGTAAGTAATCTGTGCGAAAAAGTCCCTGCAAATCAAAAATATTTTACATGGCAATCCCAAACGCGGCTAACTTGAAAGCGGGGTAAACTCCAAAAGTAGGGTAAATGCTCTGAGTCCGACGCTGACATTACAAATGAGCTGTCATGCCTATCGACTTCCCAAGTCTGCAAACGATTTATGCTAATCCTACTTAACAGCCACGAAATTGCAGCTTTACCAAGTAACCATGAATTCATTTGTTACCCAACTGCAGAAAGATGATTAAAAGTTTTCGGAGAAGTTAAAATTCATCATCATTTGTATAAAGAACTAGCGGCCGCCCGCGACTTTGTACGCACGGAGTCAGTTATTTTACTCCCTTAGGGGTGAATTTTCGTAAAGTCCATTCTTAGCGGATGTTTACACCTTATAAGGAACTACGTAGTTCAAGTTTGTAGTGATATAATTTCTGAGATTTCGTGATTAATCAGTAAAGTAAAATACCACTCGTATTTCGCCTTTATAATGTAGGTATAACTATTATTATAGAAAGGAAGAAAGAAAGAAATATTTATTACGATGAACATCACTCAGAGAACAAAGAAAGTATACGGAAAAAAGACAGAAATAGCACATAAATATTACAAGGAAATAAAAAGTGAACTGAGCAGTGCCACCCTGTTGCAACAGCGATGCCCATCGCAGTGGGACTCTACTCAGCGTAGGTATGCTGTGGCCCAGTAGCTAACTTGAGAAATTATGTTACCAAAATAAATTATGAATTACATTAACCTCTGCGTGAATAATGTAGGTAAGTAGAGGTACCTATTTATTTCGTGGATATTAATTAATTAACTCATCACTTAAGTATTGCATTAATAAATGCACCAAAATAGTGAATATGGGTTTTTGAAGCCATTTTCCCTAGTTGTGTATCAAAGTAATGGAAGTACATTGACACTGGCAAAATGGACCTAACCCTCTTTGGTAAGGGACAAAACAAAGAAATATGATATGCTTCAGAGTGCTCGTTAATCCGTCTGTCCAGTAGAGCCATGATAAGCCCAGTTTGATCGCTAGTTAAGTAAAATAACCAACAGTTTTGTTACTACTTTGTCTAAAACTAGAAGTAAGGTTGTAGTAACTTCCATAAAATGCTCTAGAGAAAATCGAATGAACACCGATTAATCACTACATAATATACTAGCTTTCCGCCCGCGGCTTCGCGCGCGTGGACTACATTATCTACATATTTTACGGAACCCTATTTTTTTCCTAAATAAAATTTAGCCTATGTTACTCGTGGATAATGAAGCTTTCGAATGGTGAAAGAATTTTTAAAAACGGTCTAGTAGTTTTTGAGCCTTTTCATTACAACCAAACAAACAAACAAAGTTTTCCTCTTTATAATATTATACTGTAGAAAACAAAGTCGCTTCGCTGTCTATCTGTTCTCTATGTATGCTTAGATCTTTAAAACTACGCAACGGATTTAGATCCGGATGATGATGTTGATGACCCGGTCATTTTGTGCCTATGCGAAGCAGGGGCGTCACTAGTTATGGATATAGAAAGAAATCTCATCACC